ACAGACGCACTTTCAGGGGGAAACTGGACAACGCTTGAGRATGCACGCACACACTTCTCGTATATGGGGCGATGCAGCTCGAATATGTAGCGTATGCCATGGATGGTGGTGCTCTTCGAGTACTCCAGCAGCATTCCCTTGCAGGCGGACAGACGACTGCCGTATCTGATCCGGGATTTGATAATCACATCACTGGGCACATCACTTAACGCCGCCGAAGTGATGCTGGCACGTTGATAGTCGAAGTTCGGCAAGGCCAACAGCTCTGGCCCCGGCAGCAGGCAGCTGGGCTTCTCCTCTTGTCCCTCTATTGTGGCCATATCGCGTCCATCCACGTCGTTGCCTCAACTGAGCTGCGCGGCATTGCGAGCTGCGCTTTTATAGCCAGCACACAAATGGGTGCGTCTACACGGCTACATTCCCGTAGGATGTCACACTTGCTGCTCGGGGACGCAGCTGGGTTGTGCATATACTTAGCCTAATTGCGGGCAAGAATATGTCGGAAAATTAAGTACAGTTTACATTTTTATGTAATACCAAATTTGTACAATTTTTAAAGAGCAAAATAGCAAGGAAAGAATTTTGAACTAGAAAAGGTTTCTTTGCTTACTCAACGAAATAATAATCTGTCTCTCCGTGTTTTGTAGACGCAATGAAAGTGGAGAATTGACTTAACTCATCCTAATCGAGCTACTTATTTCTGTGTTATAGCTACTACTCTCCATATGCTGCTCCTCTTCACAATTGGAGCTTAGTTTATAACTGTGCGAATGGCGAAGGCAAGTGAAAGGCATTCAGTCTGAAGAGCAAACTCAAGAGGAAGGTGCAAATATTAATCTGCGCCTGAAACCAAGCCAGATTGTTAATTAATTAGTATCCTGCTGCAGTTGCCTATAGGTCTGCACACAATCAATACAATGGAAATACAATACAGTGGAAATTGGAAGCAAGCGAAGCTCCACGAGCTGTCTCAATGCTGAAATATATCAAAGCAAGTTTTACGTGTGGGCCATTGGAAGCTGCAGCCGTAAGTGCAATTGCAGCTGCAGATGTTGTCAAGTTTCAGTTTGATAGAATTTCAAAATTTAAGTTGAAATGTGGAGGGCTTGTGAAGTTTTGTGGCTGGCTCGGGGCTGCCGTGCAAATGCGAGCACACAAAATGCATAAATCAAAGGAAAATTGAATTTTAGCCATTGAAAGGCATTGCCTACGCCGAGCCACAGCATGGCTGGTGAGGCGAGCCTCGCCACACGCTGTGAGCAGCCTGTGACAATATGTTAGAAACGGCACAGAGTTACCCCAGCCATGCTGTTGCCCTGCACTCCCCACACGTCCCACACAGTCTCCACAGCCCCTCGCCGAGATTGTCAGTGGAATGCGTGGCAAAAACTTTGTCTGGCTTGGCGTTGATGCCACTTTAAAAACAAAATTCTCGAGTGCTTTATGCAAAGACCCAGCAGACGTGAGCACTTCATAAATGCGACTGAAAAAAACCATCGATTTTTTTTTCATCAACTTCTTAAACCATTTTGCGAGCTCAAAGTCAAGCAATGAAACTCTGATTAAAGACTAACTAATTTGCAAAAAAGTCTAACTTAGTTCGCAGCTCTAACCAAATTACTATTATTTACAGAGCTATTATATTTCACTTTAGCTGGGTTGCTTACAGAGTATATAATATATTTT